TTGGCGTGTCAATCTTTATTTCTTCGTAGTTTATTTTATATCTTCCCTGATATATATTATCAGTCCTCCTGCGGCTCTACCTGTTTTTGGTTTAGCTCTATCTGTTCTAATTGAGTTATAGTTCGGTAGTGTGAATTTGGATTTTTTGAAGAATTTAGTTTCCTGAATGCAAGCAATATGTGGGCCTTTATCTCGTTTAAATTTAGCTTTTAGTTCATGGCCGTGGGAGGTGAGTCCGTTGGCGTTTCACTGAAAAAATATTTAGTCCTTCCATTATTGGGGTCGGGTGTTTAGTAATTTTGGTTTTAGTTTTATTTTACATGGTGACTTCTTTTAGGTGGAGGTTAAAGAGGAAGATTGGTTAAGTTTAGATTGAATGCTACTTTGTGAAAGGATTTCATGGTTGCGTTTGGTGAGTTTTGACAATGCATGTAAGATAGGAGTAAGGTTTAGTTTTTTGATGTTGGTTACTTGGGTTTTTTTGCGGTTTAGTTTTTTGTTTCTTTTAGGGGCTTAGAAGGTCGTTTCATTTGCTTTAGTTGTTGGAGTAGCTTCGATTGTTTCTTCTGTTGTGGAGTACTCTTCTTCATCAGTTAAGTTTGATTTAGCTGTTTAGGTATCCATAGGGTTGGCTTGCGGTGTGGAGGGTTGTGTTTGAGTTTGCGGGGTGGGCGTAGCTGTGGATTTAGTGTTTGTGTTGTTTTGTTGTGCTTGCTTGTGGGGGAGTGTTGTTGCCTTGTGGGCTGTAGAGTGTTTGGATGAGGGTCGTGTTGTGGTGGTCGTTTTGTGGTTTGTTTTGCATGCGAGTGTTGATGTTGTGGCTATGTGAGGTATGGGAGAGTTGGTGGGTGGTTGTGTGGCTGCAAGTGTGTGTGAGGTGGGTGCGGTTTCTATGCCGTCGCCCCAGACAGAGTTTGCGGTTATGGGTGTGGTGTTTGTTTGAGGGATGGTGTTTGGGTGCGATGTAGGGAGAAGTAGTTTTGATGCGGGTGATGCAAATTTTCGTGTTTGGATTTTGGCCGTTTCTATGTTAATGTGTTTGTTGGCCTGCTGGGTGAGGGTGTGTCTGTGTGGGCATTGGTTTGAAAGTGAGGTGTGTTTGATGGATTTGCAGTAGATGCACCAGGGTGAGCATGTGCCTGTGCAGTCTGTTTGTGCGCATCTTTTACATTTAGTTTTTTTGGAATGTGCATTGGGAGGCTGTGTGATTATATTTGAGGCAGTTGGAACATTGTTTGACCTGTTTTATATAGGGTTTCACTTCTAAGTAAGTGTGGGCTCCGAAAGATATGTGTTGAGGGGCTTCGGGAAATCTAGCGGGTTTTGATATGTTGATGCTAACAATTGAGTTTGGGACCGTTTTTCCGTTTCTAGTTGAGGTGATTCTGCGATATTTGTGATTTGAGGTTGAGGGTTTAGGTATTGGTTTATGTTTGCTTCCAGGGAGTAAAGTTCTAAATCTTCAGTTGTTTCTCTTAGATTGACTCTAATTACGCCTCGTGTGTATTGTTGCCAGTTTGTTTTTTGTTTGATTACTGTAACGTGGAATATTTGAGTTATATTATTGGATGCCATTAAGGATTCTTGGTTAGGGAAAATAATTTGGTATCCTTTGTTGGCTTTTTTAATGTTGCTGTAGTTTATCTTTTCTCGTTTGAACCAGAGTCCTATTTTGTCTATTGAAAGTTGGTGTGTGAGTGTGGTGCCTGAACCTGCGGAGAAGAAGTAGAGGGCGAAGGTGGTGAGGAAGGCAGCCAGGGAGGTGGGCGATGGAGGTGGAGCGGATGTGTCGAGTTTGCGTTTTTTGGTGTTTTGAGGTGGCGAGTTGGCTGGTTTGGTGGGGGTGGTGTGTTTCGTGTTTTCGCCATACTTGGTCGGGACGATGTTTTCGAGTGACCTCCCGGAAGTGTTGTGCGCTTCCGCAGGCGTGGGTGAGTAAGGAGCTGGAATGTCTGCGAATGTGACGTTGCGGGTGTCAGTCATGTTGTTTGGGTGTTGTGTTGGGTGGTGATGGGCATGGTTTGTGTTTTAAGTGGTGTGGGTGGGGGTTTGAGATTCGATGGATGTGGGTTTGAGATTAGGGTGTTGTTTGAAGCATTGGTTTAGATGGGACTAGTGGAAAGCGGGGATTAGGAGATATTTAGTCGAAGGAGTGGAGGTATGTGTTTAAAGAGGTGAGTGGTGGGCGTGGGTGGTGAGTAGGAAAGAACACAAATATTCTGCTACTTAACATTTTTAACCCTCATTATTTCCGAGGAATTGGAGTCATGCATGACAAATGAGAAGCAAATATCTCTGCACCAACTGATGATGGTAGCTTCAGCATTTGGCTGGGATGTATTTCACAGTAGCAAAATAGCTACAGACTGTTATCTTAACTTATTTCTGAGTGAGTGAGAAAGTGTGGTTTGTCGCCGCTTTTAGCAATATTCCAGCAATATCACTGCGGGGGACACCAGAAATGGGCTTTACACATTGTACCCATGTACCCGAACACGGGTCTTCGGCGTGACGAGCGAACTTTTAAACCACTAGGCTACCCGACCGCCCCCGTTATTTCTGAAATATTCTGTGTTTAAAGATGACTGTGCCAATAACCTTTTTTGGACACTATGAGCAATTGTGGTTATTGCAGTACACAAAAATGTGGAAAAAGGAGGCAATATGGAGTGTGTGTATCCGAAATATGACATATCAATCACGTAAATTGGGATCTTATGATGCAGTACAATCAACACAATCCAAATGTTCCCAAGGTTCTCCCCAGTCATTAGTAGATCAAAGCATTACGGTGACATTCTCCTTTCAAACATGACAAAGACATTGATTTATTGTTATTTCACTGATTCAAGGATATATAGTTCGTATGACAACATAAATCGCACCTACTCGCCAGCACACAAAGTACGTATCTAGACTACCAGTTGTCGGACTTTTTTTCTGGAAGCTTTGGTGGCTGAATGGTTAGATCGCTGACTGTATGTGCTTGCGAGTAGGTGCCTAACTCTGGCAGTGTGGGTTCGAATCCGGAACGGGACTTAACCCAAAAAAGTACGAGAATCTGTACTTCACTAAGGAAGTGTTATCCCAAATATAACATGTGTTATATTTTACAGCTTTCTAAATGGCATGGTGAATTCATGCTTTGAAATAAGTACCAAGGGAAAAATGGTACTTAACGTTTAAAGCCTTGGGAGTACTTTTCATAATTTGTTGATGTCATGTTCTCTACCTGAAATACATAGTCTTTTCGGGCACTCTAATTTCAATCGGGAGCTATCTCCATTGTTTTCGTACTTGCAAAAAATGGCGTCAGTCACGCTGTACCTGGTCGTTGGTCAAGCTATTAAATTGGTCATCTAATCCTTAAGGTAAACCCTATTCTTAATTTACTTATCATCTAGCAATCCACGTGTGCATTTAGCTGTCCGTATTATCTTTTAGCAATCCACGTGTACTTGTAACAATCTGTATTACCATCTAGCAATCCACGTGTGCATTTAGCAATCCGTAATATCGTTTAGCAATCCACGTGTACTTGTAACAATCTGTATTATCATCTAGCAATCCACGTGTGCATTTAGCTGTCCGTATTATCTTTTAGCAATCCACTAGTACTTGTAACAATCTGTATTATCATCTAGGAATCCGCGTGGACACGTAACAATCGCGATCATCATCTAGCAATCCCCGTTCAATCCACATGAGTTGCACCCCTTACGCAAGCAGCCACGAATACCCGGGACTTTATGTGCAGTACAACCTTATCCTGGTGTATCACCCGTGACTTGTTTTTACATACTTCACAGTATGATATGTCTTGATAACACGAGTACCCATGTACAGTCCTATGGTTTGGCAAGGGATCACAAGGGATTATTTATTGGCACAGTGACTTACAATAAGTTCTATCTCTTAGACATCTACCTCCAATATATTAATCTGTCATATCTGAATTAACATTTCTTAAAATATACTATGCTTAGAAAAGTAAGGAATATTGGGAATCATCAAGGCATATCTTCTGATCTATATGGTATTGGTAAATGGAAATACTGTGATCATATCCACGGGGTAGTGGGCGATCACATCTAATGGGTTCTAGTGCCAACCGATTTCTTAATGCCATCGTTCTGAGTAATCTGTCCTGGCCTGGAGTTGCTGCCCTTGGTCTTCCAGAGCGGCGTTGATCAGCGACTTTAAGTGTTTGCTGTTTTGTTTGTAGTAAACTACGGTTATAACGAACTTAAAGGGACCACTAACTTTAGTTTGTTATAACCGTAGTTCGTGTTAAGCATATATACAGCATAACTATAGCAAATAGTCGGGACAAAAAATCAGTTCGTTATACCCGTCAGTTCGTTATAAGCGTGTTCGTTATAAACGTACTTTCCTGTATTGACATTCTTTGTGTTTTATACTCCATATGCTACACCCATAGTTGGCAATTCTGAATCATTAGTGTTTGATGTCATTTTTCCATCTGGTGAGGTGAAATGGGGCTCAAAATTATTTAATTTATGTACAGACTGGTGTGTATGTATGTGTGTGTCTGCGTGGTCCACTCATGTCATTGTCACCGCTATTTTGCTTTTCACTCAATGTAATCTGTTTTGTCCGATTATTCAACCCATTTGGACCCAGTCCTTATTTTATCCCCTTAATGCCAAGCGCTAGGAAGGGTACGAAAAAGTAACTTCTTTTCACATATTTTTGTATGAAGCGTACAGGAAACCAAGCTACAGACTTTTGGCAGAAGCTCTGTTTACTATACCATACATGAGCTGTCCTATTCACATTTGGTTTTATTAAAATCTTGTGTGGCCATAACGGTCGTTACACTACAATTAGGTGAGAAGAGCCCTGACCGACTTTGTCTACCTCAGTCTTTATGATAAAATGTATACATCATAATGTATTTACAAGGACTAGGGTATTCAAGTATGAAAAGAGTGACACATATATGACGTTGTTGCCGGAGCTTATAAATGGCGATCTTTAATCCTAGGGAATCATTCTGTCTTCTGTGTGGATCACGCTAGTCGAGAAAACAGACAGATACATACGGTAGGTGTAATGATGTATTCCCAAAGTATTCGTCTTTTCTAAATGTTTCACGTAGTGTGGAATAATTTATATATGTAGAAATATCTTGAAAATATGGGATTTGGGAGTATGATTCCAGCACGATGTTGCAGACACAAAACGACAAGACTGTTCGGTGTTTCCTATCTGTTATCTTTTCTTTACCAGATACCAAAGATAAATGGGTGCTAAACCAGGGAAGGAGCTGAACTTCGATGTGAAAGTTAATGGTTCACACAAACAGGGTAATTACTTCCTAACGTAATTTATTAATATGGTGTACTAATATGATCACTTGATGTCCGAGCATGTAAAGCTTGTATCGTTATGGTCTTCCTTAAACACAATTACACACTCTCATGCAATAATACTTATTACTTGCCCGTGAAGAGATCACCCGTTTAATAAACATACAGCTGTATTACACATTGTGTAATACCCAAACGCGTGCTTACGTTCTCTCCGGGGGTTGTCGGGTAGCCAAGTGGTTAAAGCGTTAGGTCGTCAAGCCGAAGACCCCGGTACAATGTGTGAAGCCCATTTCTGGTGTCACACATTGTACCATAGCAGGGGGGACACCAGAAATGGGCTTTACACATTGTACCCATGTACCCGAACCCGGGTCTTTGGCGTGACCAGCGAACGCTTTAACCACTAGGCTACCCGACGGCCCCTGTATGGTAGATGTATTGTTAATCTGATGCATATGCCTTGACATCTATATATTTGTCTCTTGAAACACGTTCGTGTGCATTTTAAGAGTATGTGCACCAATGTCTATGTGCACGTCTGTGTGTGTAAAAACAAGAAACATATGTGTGTCATGAGAGGCGACTAAATGGATCGGATTGTTTGAACTAAAGTTTGATCATATCGAGCACTGGTTCGTTTGGTCGGGACTTAATTATCTACAGGTCCCCGTCATAAAGCTGGACACTCAAACAAACAAACCAGTCGTAATACCAAAGTATAGTGTATAACATGCTTTTCAGGAGGAACGCACATCGACAACCAAGGCAATATTGGTAACATTACCACTGGTGACAACAACTCCGGCAATAATACTGCCTCAGTCGGGGGGCAGCCTGGGAAGAGTCCAAAGCAATAGTAAGAACACATTTTGTTTCTGAACAGTGCACAATGTATACTCCCCAGGGAGATGAGAATGAAAATCGAGTACACCGTACCCTGATCCATTGACAAGAGTAATAATGTTAGCTCTTTGAACATACACCTTCTGTTTGGAGTCTAGAGTTTTGACAAAATACTCTTGTAATGTACTCCTCGTGTGCATCCGCAAGCGTCAGTCGATATGTTTTGGAAGTTGCTGGTGCAGTTTCTGTTACACGTTGGTCTACCAGCATTGCTAGTTAGCATTCTGCATTCTGGTGTTGTATCAACCTGTTATATCTATCTTGGAACAGGACCTGTTATATCTATCTTGGAAACAGAGGCTATTAACACATGTAGGGAATGCATATGATTAAGGGAGCACATACTTGGGTGTATTCCAGAAATCCAATACAATTGTTTCCTGTTGAAGGATATATTCTTAATTGTAGTTTACTGTATGTGTCGTTTACTTTTGTAGAACAAAAATATGGTCTAATATGGAAATAATTCTGATGATACCAAAGACTATTTCTGGCCATGGCTACGTAGAGGTTATCCCTCGAGTGTGTTTTGAATGGTAAATATCCTGTCCGGAGTAAACTTTGTATTAGGTGAGTCTTGACGAGTGCTTATTCCTAATACAGGATAGTTATCGCCCAAAACACTAGCTATGAAATCATTAACTTGGTGACTTTGATTTTTTAGTGATAATGTCGAATGCACATTTCAAAGAACTTTCGTTACCTATAACACATGGTATGGTTTCCAGAATGGGTCGTGACCATCCCCTAAAGCATTATGGCCGGACCTTACGTTTCAATACGGTTTGGACGTGTAAGCGAATACTCAATGTTACACAACATGCGAATCAGGATAATGTTGTTGTGCCCCCTTTATGATCAATGAGACATGGAATACAAAGGGTCAATGGAATCAGGCTAAATGTATTTCTTGCGTCTACGTCATGCTTTATTCGTGTTGCCAGATCTCTGTTATGTCTTCAAAACGCCCATTGATCAACACACTGCAAAACCTGGCCTAACAGGCTGTATATTTCAATACCCAACAGAAGGTATACAGAAGTATAGTCAACGTATCTCGCCACTAATATGATTAGTCATACCAATTGTACGAACACACTGAATCCGCATTTGGTTGTAGTCTTATGATCCACAGCGTATCGAGGTAACGTTGGAGGAAACGGCAGTACTAGAAGTACACTAGAAACAAACGTTTTTATTCTAACACACTACCATGATGACGAGCTAATGCTGCCACGCCATATATATATATTGGACTGCGTGTAGTAGATATATTTTAAGCCATCCTTTGAAATGATGTTGGATGCAATTCCCTATTGTACACTTATGTACCAGTTGCCACTGGTTGTACCAGGGCAGGGCACGATATACTCACCTTTCGTGAAGACTCCTTGACTGATTCAAAAACACATTAATGCTATAGTTAAAATTGCTGTTGAATATGGGAATGATCTGACGCCTTTACGTTGCAACATGGTCATTTATACATGTTAGGAACTGTTCCACTCAATGTATTAATGAACTTGCTGAAGAACTTGTAATATCAGGATTGATACGTTTACAAATTCTGAGGATACCTATATTTTATGTGTTGCTCACCGGCATGCTTGTTCACTTGTTGGGCACACGAGGGTACTTCATTGGGCTGATTTTCTCCCCAAAGATTCCCAAATGAAATTAGAGCGTGTTATAGAGTTTAAGAAATTTGGTTACACAAATATATTCCTAAAAGGACCACAAAGCACGACACATAAACATGTGTTATTTATTTACATACAATAAAATGTTACAACTGTCATGGTAACTAGGCATGACTAACTTATATGTTACAGGACAGTTTTTGTAGATTCTGGCTCCAACTTGGTGTTAAGGTCAAGCACAGTCACGCCCTCAAAGACGATAATGGCATCAAGTGCAAGGTAGGTCCTGTTTAGTCTGGTAACCTAGGCAACAATAAAGGTCTCATGACAACGTCAAATCAACCGTTCATATACGATGGTACATTTTGAATATCCTTTCAAAATACTAAATACTAACATCTTGATGGCGGGAAAAGCTGTATCCAAACATGTTTCTAAACGTGTTGATGTTTGAGGCAAATTCAACATCTACATCATCATGGACAGCTTTGTCAGCGATATACATGTTCATTGATTTATTGAAGATGCTTCATGTGTCTCATTTACTGTCCATTGCATTACACACTTCATCAGACAATTTCAGCCACCCTACTTTTATTTCCAGCGTACATAGAGTCTACATATGGTTGCCAAGATGGAATTTTCAGGTAGGTGGCCATGTGTCTCTGCTTCTCAACGATGGGACATACATAAGCTGGTGGCCACATGATGGGGTAGACTTTAAAACAGATATGTTTAATAGTCCGCATGGTGTCAAGGCATCACATGGTACATGTGTAGAAAATGACATAGAATCCATGAAGTACAGTTATCATTATGTATTTGATATTCCCCCGGAACGGTTGGATCTGCAGAAAATGAAAGATTTCTGGGAATCTGTCCTTACAACTCGTAACTTTGACCCAAAGAAGGAGAACTGCTGCTGGGTTGTGTACAACGTACTACTTGCTGGAGGCGCTCCTCCAGCATCAGTGTGGTCACCATGGCGACCAGGGATGATACGACGATACATGGTCAACTTTGTGAGTGGCGGTTCTGCGCTCTTTCGACTTATTGGGAACTTCCTTCCTTTCTAAGGCGATGTTAAGTTCATTATTGAGATAGATTCTTCTGTGTTGACTCTGACTCTTCTTAATATGAAAACCTGCTCTGGATCTGTGTCGAGTTACGTTGTTTTTTAGTTAACAAACATGAAGTAATGATGTATTGTAGCATGTCTAAAAGTATGTTACCTAGTATGGTGACCTACCTTTGGTTATTGGTGATCTATAGCCCATTTTTTATTGTGTACTGTTCTGAATTGTTATGAACTTTATTATGATATGCTAGTTTTAAATCTACATCTGTGATAGTCAAGTGTTTTTACTGTCCTTTGTCGACAGATTCTAATGTCTATATGTATTATTAAATAACTTGATTTAGTCACTATATGGCTGAAATACTGCCGATGTGACTTTAAATATTTTACTCACTCACTCACTCTAAAAGTATGTTCACTTGCATGTATACAAGGTGAATGTACCGTACACAGGGCTAAAACTGGATTTCAGGGACCCCTGCAAGTTTTAGGAGGCGACTAACGGGACCGCGGACTTGGCTGATGCATGACATGATATTTCAGTTATGATGATCAGTTCCTCATGATGATCAGTGGTTTGTCCGGTCCAGGGGAAATGAGATCAAAGCATGCATGACCCAGTAGCCGATTGAGCCATAATTCGCTCTGCAGATGCACGTTCCCGAAGACATATCAGAACATATCGATAGTGGGTTCGAATCACAGTTCACCCTGATTATGGTTGTATGTTTGTCAGCAATATTCCCATGCTCGTGGATTTCCACAATATGGAAAAGGTCCTGCATCATTTGGTTTTTTTACAAGCTGACACTCCGTACATGAAATTAAAGCTGCGTTGAACCAAACCCACTCACTCGTTGAGGTGAATCCATTCAGTTATGTTTCCTATCATATGAGATGTGTTTGATTTCAGTTTCAGATAATACATAATAATACAAAAAATGTAACTGAACGGTTGGACATGATACGTTAAAAGCAAATGTTTCAAGGACGGTTGAGGCTTACAGTGAATACTTTTGAGTAGATTTAAGAATGCCTAGCGAGTCGCAAATATACAAGTAGCAGGTGTAGAAATTTACATTTACATTTTGACAATCCTGTTTATCATGTCGGGTGCTTTCATACATCATCTATGCCGAGATCTAAAGAAAATCTTTAAAAAACCAAAATATATAAATTGTCCACAAATGTTTTCCGAAATTTTTCTGTCTATTATTCCATAGGATAAATCATCCCTGTTAAACTAATTGCAGCCGAGGAAATTACAACATTAAAATTAAAAGCATTAAAGAAACCGCTCCATTGTTTTCGTGATCACGTGACGTGAACGCACTGGTGCTGATAATTGAAGATGACGCTATTGTTAATGACGTCATGACGATTTTGTCAATAAGGAAACACACACTCGTTTTGTAATTGTTTTCAGAAAAAGACTATATTGTTATTGTATAGAACAATGACTAAGGCTCAGAATTTACAAACTGAATTGACTCGAGACAGATAATCCGCATTCCTTTGGTGCTTGTAGGCGGCTCTCTAATTCTGTCATATTCATGTTGATATAAGTGTTCCGAGACTTCCTTTTTTATCCTGGTAATATGGTTCTTCTTTTCTTTTTCCGGCGAGATACTGAAGATAGTATCATGTTTGTTTCCAGGAGAAAAAAACGTTATTAAATAAATCCCCAACTTCATCTTTTGTCTTTGAGAAAGTGTATTCCTATACAGAAATAACAATGCTCAAAAACTTCTTATCGGCCGTGTGTGCATTTATTGTCATTTTTTCTAAAATTTGTACTGATTTGCTTTTATATGAGAGTAAAAAGTTGCAACAAAACTATTCTTGTTTTCTTTTTTCAGCACACAATTTCAGCACAGAATTTGTATCCATCTTTAATGATATACCTGATCTCATCCAAATTTCTCCTATGGATTTGTACAAATTTGTCTCATTATCCACTTCGACCTCTTTCCCCTGTCACCATTTGCTTCCAACGCCTCCTCATGAGGTGGTACTCCAGCACATTCTCAGGGAAGATACATGTCTCGTCTTCTCCTCTTCACATCTGTCTCCGATCATCCACTAAGCTGGAAGCATCTTCGGTGGTATCTTCCACCCTGCCTTTCCTATTTCCATCTTCCTCTATGTTGTACTCAGTATACCTACTGACAGAGCGTGGCGGGGCAACCTGCTTACATATACAGTGTTGTCTGGCTATAGCGAATAATGATTTTCAATACCATTTTTGGCATTCCATACGTACGATATGATCTGTTCTACGATAGAAGAGGGGAATCGACTATTTTTCTCATATTCACAACATAAAGCAGCCAGTTCTAAGTATTATGATCGTATTTATGGACTCACAAGGGGTAGGAGTCGCCCAGTCGTCTAAGGCGCCGCGATTCGCTGTGCAGAGTTGCGTCCCTTGGGCACGCCAGAAACCTATGATTATGTTTCTAGGTTTGTCAGCACCATTCCCGTCTCGTGGGTTTCACCGAAGTGGTAAACGTCTGAGGCCTGCATCACTTCCGGCTTTCCTCCCACCTTAAGCTGACACGCCCGCGATATAACTGGAATACTGTTAAAAGCGGCGTTAAACCCAACTCACTCACTATGGACTCAGAAACTCTGACATAGGAAATGGCTCACAGGTTTATGTGAGGTACTGAACATTCGATATTCTGGTGAGAGGAGGGAAGGTGGTAGCGGAATGTGTGACAGGATTATTTTCCCAACAACTGAGGACAAATTAGTATTCCACCTTTATCAGGAACACAGAATGGAATGTGTGGAGGCACACAAAAACTACAGCTCAACATCACGTTATCTTCTCATTTATAACGTTAGCAATTGACGGTCGGGTAGCCTACTGGTTAAAGCGTTCGCTCGTCCCGACGAAGGCCCGGGTTCGATTCCCGACATGTGCAATGTGTGAAGTCCATTTCTGGTGTCCCAGGCCGTGATTTTGCTGGGATATTGCTAAAGGCGGCGTAAAACCATACTCACTCACCTTAATGTGAGCCAGCAGTGGGGTAGCCTTGTGGTTAAAGCGTTCGCGCGTCACGCCGAAGACTCTGGCTCGATTCCCCTATGTGTGAAGCCCATAATTGGTGTCCCTCGCCGTATTTCTGGAATATTACTTAAAGCGGCGAAAAATAATACTCACTCACTCACTATTATGTCAGCATCCATTTACAACCCATTGGAGCAGGCTCAAATCAATCCCTTTAACATTCACTCTAGAGGTGAAGGTGACTACTAGGCCAAAAACACTCAGTCAAGGATCAGATCTCTCCCTTCAACTGGGCCCAACACGTTCAGTCAAGGATCAGATCACTCCCTTCTTCTGGGCCTAACACGTTCAGTCAAGGATCAGATCCCTCCATTGTAGAGGGCCCAACACGTTCAGTCAAGGATCAGATCACTCCACTCTACAGGGCCCAACACGTTCAGTCAAGGATCAGATCACTCCCTTCTTCTGGGCCCAAAACGTTCAGTCAAGGATCAGATCACTCCATTCTACAGGGCCAAACATGCTCAGTCAAGGGTCAGATCACTCCCTTCTTCTGGGCCCAACACGTTCAGTCAAGGATCAGATCACTCCTCTCTACTGGGCCCAACACGCTCAGTCAAGGACCAGAACACTCCCTTCTACAGGGCCTAACACGTTCAGTCAAGGATCAGATCACTCCACTCTACTGGGCCCAACACGCTCAGTCAATGGTCAGATCACTTCCTTCTAAAGGGCCAAACACGTTCAGTCAAGGGTCAGATCACTCCCTTCTTCTGGGCCCAACACGTTCAGTCAAGGATCAGATCACTCCACTCTACAGGGCCCAACACGTTCAGTCAAGGATCAGATCACTCCCTTCTTCTGGGCCCAAAACGCTCAGTCAAGGATCAGATCACTCCATTCTACAGGGCCAAACATGCTCAGTCAAGGGTCAGATCACTCCCTTCTTCTGGGCCCAACACGTTCAGTCAAGGATCAGATCACTCCACTCTACTGGGCCCAACACGCTCAGTCAAGGACCAGAACACTCCCTTCTACAGGGCCCAACACGTTCAGTCAAGGATCAGATCACTCCACTCTACTGGGCACAACACGCTCAGTCAATGGTCAGATCACTCCCTTCTACAGGGCCTAACACGTTCAGTCAAGGATCAGATCACTCCACTCTACTGGGCCCAACACGCTCAGTCAATGGTCAGATCACTTCCTTCTAAAGGGCCAAACACGTTCAGTCAAGGGTCAGATCACTCCCTTCTTCTGGGCCCAACACGTTCAGTCAAGGATCAGATCACTCCACTCTACAGGGCCCAACACGTTCAGTCAAGGATCAGATCACTCCACTCTACTGGGCACAACACGCTCAGTCAATGGTCAGATCACTCCCTTCTACAGGGCCTAACACGTTCAGTCAAGGATCAGATCACTCCACTCTACTGGGCCCAACACGCTCAGTCAATGGTCAGATCACTTCCTTCTAAAGGGCCCAACACGTTCAGTCAAGGGTCAGATCACTCCCTTCTTCTGGGCCCAACACGCTCAGTCAAGGATCAGAACACTCCCTTCTTCTTCTGGGCCCAACACGTTCAGTCAAGGGTCAGATCACTCCCTTCTTCTGGGCCCAACACGTTCAGTCAAGGATCAGATCTCTCCCTTCTACTGGGCTCAACACGTTCAGTCAAGGATCAGATCACTCCATTCTAGAGGGCCCAACACGTTCAGTCAAGGATCAGATCACTCCCTTCTACAGGGCCCAACACGCTCAGTCAAGGATCAGATCACTCCCTTCTACTGGGCCGAAGACGCTCAGTCAATGATCAGATTACTCCCTTCTACTGTGCCCAACACGCTCAGTCAAGGGTCAGATCACTCCCTTCTACAGGGCCCGACATGTTCAGTCAAGGATCAGATCACTCCCTTCTTCTTGGCCCAACACGCTCAGTCAAGGATCAGATCTCTCCCTTCTACAGGGCCCAACACGTTCAGTCAAGGATCAGATCACTCAATTCTACAGGGTCAAACACGCTTAGTCAAGGATCAGATCACTTCCTTCAACAGGGCCCAACATGCTGAGTCAAGGATCAGATCACTCCCTTCAGTAGGGCCTTACACGCTCAGTCAAGGATCAGATCACTCCCTTCTTCTGGGCCCAAGACGCTCAGTCAAGGGTCAGATCACTCCCTTCTACAGGGCCCAACACGCTCA